CATTTAATTTAAGAGACTATATTCCCCTGAATACAATTAGTTTTTGCATAAGATTAAAAACGCACTGATTGTGTGTTTGTGGATTAAGTTTAAAACAGTGCTTAGGCTGGGTTCAACAAGGAGTCACAGAATGATCCCACCTCTGTAGGTTTGTGTGACAGCTTTTGTTACAAAAATGCATGTTTGTTGTACTAACGTTGGCCCTCCTGTAAAAAAATAGTGGTTAGTAATAAATTAAGTGGCATTAAAAAAAGAATTGGTGCTGGGAATTGTGGCATGGTTGTCCTTGTTTTCATTCTGGTGTTCTGTTTTTTAATTTCTTTGTTTTTTCCTTTTCCTACTTTAGTGTCATTTTCTGTAGTTGTATGGCGAAACTATACTCCTTTTCTCCATTGTCAAAAAAGCAGTATAAGAACCTCGAGTGCCTCTTCTTTTGTTAATTTCCCTTAAGAGGTGACTTTTTTTGAATGTATTAGGAGATAACAGCAGTTTTTGTTCATAGCACATAAAATATATAATGACCTTTGAAATTCCCTTAATTTTGCTAATATTTGGCTGTTCAGGATTTGTTGGTTATTTTTAAATGTATGTCTCATGGGCTTTTCCAACTGACAACTACACGATGCTTCCAGTGTGCCTGGCTTGTCTGTTAGTGAGGTTCAAAGTACCCTTTTAAGGGAACATAGTACCATTTCCTCTTTTACTTATTCCTAATCATGTTCATTTCACTTACATCAAATGAATAATATGGATCTAAAGTGAATGCGGTAGACTGTTATTCTATGGTCAATATCTTTTACTCTGAAAAATTATCATCTCTTGGCTTCTCCTCAGCTAATCCAGCCAATGAAAATGATCAGACTTTGCTAATCTTTATTTTCATTTGGCACTAGCCTTTTACTTAGTGCAACTGAAAAAGCTAATGATTTGCCTGGTTTATATCTGTGACCTTTCAAATCTAAGATTAAATAAATTTTTTAAATTTTTTAGATATTATATATCTGAAACAATTCCAAAAAATTTAAAATACATCAACTTGTTACTGTGTAGAAGATAAACATGAGTAATGATCATATGTTCATTTTTCAATTTTCCAGAGTAAGTGAATTGAAGTGATGGACTCTGATTTGGAGAATAGTAAGATGTGAAAGGAATACACCTGTATGTAAGCACCATGGCCTTGACTCACTGTTCAAGAGAAGAAAACAAGAAAAGTAACTGGTTTTCATCTATAAGAGAAAGTAAATTATTGGTTTTTAAGTGGTTGTTACACTTAAGTTTTTATTCAAAGCATTTGTAATTTAGTTAATAAAAGAATGATTTGTATTGTGTGCCCAATTGAAATCCAGTTTTTTGTTGTTATTTTTATTCAATTAGGAGCAAAAGTAGAGTGGGCAACTTCCAAGAATGATGCGTTTCAGATCCTAGGACCTCTTGACTCTAGATCATCAGTTTAAATTGGTTCAAGGTGAGAATTACCTGGCACTAACCTAGAGGTTATCTTTGAAAATCAGTGGCTTCCATTGAACCTTAGCAAACTCAGGTTCGTCACCACTTTGGCAGTTAAGGTGTCAGCTGAGTAATGTATCTGTCACTTCTGGGTCAAGGGAATAGCAGATTAAGTACAGACAGAAATTTGGTCGAGAACATTTATATGCTGCCTATGTGTGATGTGATACTAATGGAGATCGTGGTCTTCATTCTTGGGGGTTGCCATTCACACATTCTTCCTTCAACATACAGTGTAACAGATCCTTTCCAGACTTAGGGTAATTTTATGGATGGATGTGTTTTTCTTTTATTCATACAACCCTTTAAACCCTGTCTTGTCGTGTTATTTGCTTCTGCTGTACAAGATGTAGCACCTTTTCTCCTCTTTGAACATGGTCCAGTGACACAGTAGCATTATTGCAGAAAGGAGCCAGACTCGTTCTCAGAGAACTCTGTTCACACTTTTCAGCAAAAAATAGCAGTGGTTGTAACATATGTACTCCCTTCCTTAGATTTGAAGGCACAATCTACAGTGTTTCTTCATTTCTTTTCTGATCTGGGGCATGAAAAACCAAGATTGAGATTTGAACTATGAGTCTCCTGCATGGCAACATAACGTGTGTCACCGTCAGGCCAATAGGCCAGCCCTCGAAAGGGTGGTTTTATTACTGTCGTATCTATGTTGCATGATAAACACTCATCATCTTCCTCCTGTAGTCCTGCCTCGTATTCCCGATTCTACGATTAAAAACTAAAAACCCACATGTTTCCCACCCCCGTTAGAAGAAAATTAACATTCTGACAGTTGTGACCGCCTGGAGTACTTTTAGATCATTAGCACCTGTTTTTCTCCCTTGTGGGTGTGTGTGTGTGTGTATGTGCACATGTATAGTAGGCACATGCATCTTCTGTATGGACAACAGTGGGGTACCTACAGGAGAGCAAATGCTAATTCATGCTTTTGGCGAAAACATTTAAAAACAAGGATCTTTATTGGATGGGATTATAGTTGATGCGAATATTTGATCACGTAAAACTTTAAAAATTTCAAGGTAATTTGCCAAATTTTTTGACTGCTCACAAGTACCCTCTAAAAATATTAGTGATTCTTCCTTTTTGTCTATTATTAACACATTCATATTGTAGTTGTATTACTAATAGTTATTTCTTAGTCCACCAAATGTTTCCCTGTGCCTCTTTTATGCCAAATTAATTGTATTCCATGTTGGGACCAAGTGGTTTGCCCATGGCAAACCTAAATTTATGACCTGCTGATGCCTCTCAGAAAACTGAACACACTATGAAGACAGCTCTTCTTGAAAAAAAAAAAAAAGAAAAGAAGAACTAATTTCCTCCTAATTGTGTTGCTGTCCAAAATATTATCTTATGTAAAGGGAGCTGTATTCCTTTATATAAATCTCATGGCTCCTGCTGCTCTTTTTCCTTCTGAAAATATTTATATTTTAGTAAAGTTGTTTGTTACTTTAGAAATCAATTTTGATGAAAGGAGGAAAAAAGCAAATGGACTTGGAAAAGATCCAAATTCCTACTCTCTATTAAGAAAAAGTCAGGTATGAAAATCTTTATAGTACACTTTTTTATAAACTAATGTTGTACCTTTTAATATGTGGGAAACTCCTTTATTTGGGGTTCGGTCATATTTTGTGTTCTCTTTAATGCTGCCTATCTTTCGAGGCATTCACTGCCCTAGACAACGCAGAGGTAGCAGGAGAAATGCCAGGTGAAATCAACTCTTGCTCTTACCAGTTGTCAGCTTCTCTGGAAAAGGGACCATATAGCAGCAGGAGCTCTCTTATTTGGGCATCATTGGGCCAGTTAATTCTTTTTCAATCAGACTTGTGATGGCTCCCAATTTTCTGTTACACCTAATTAAAATTGCTAACAATGTTTCGGTAATTATATATGTTTCTCCCCATAATCTGCTTTTTACTCACTGATCCGATTTTTGCCACTGACTCTTCTGTTCAATTTTATATATTGTATGTCCTCAGAATGACATAATTTGTCAGTTTTGCAACAACCCTTTCAACCTTTTTGGCCAAATCAAATTTTCCCTCCCTTCAAAACATTGTCCTCCAGCCCTTCCTCCCCCACTGGCTCCCTTTTGCAGTCTACCCCCATTTGTCTAGCTTCCTCTTTCATCTTTACTTGCCTTTCCTGATAGATCATGTGTCTCTGCTTAGCTCTTATTGGTTTATTTGTCTTGCTTTTCTCACTTGATATGAAAATTCCTCCATAGCAAGAGCTTTTTTCCCCTTCTTTTTCCTTCCTGCAGTGTTTTTGCATACATTATATACTCAGTGTTTGTTTGATGATTGAGAGTTAGCTGTATGTAGATTTCCCACTGTTTTTAATAGGGTGAGCTAGAGAGTTTTCTTTTTTGACAAATTTCACATGTTCTGAAAACCTTAAAAGGTGATTTTTCACCTGGAAACTCCCAGTCTATTCTATTTAAATTTCTAAGAATGTTAGGATTAAAATGATAAGGCTGTCTCATAATTAGTATTGCTCTTTTCAGGTCGCTGTAGTCAATTTAGAAAGTGACCAAATTGTGGTTTAAGTTAATAAAGCTCAAAAGTGATAAGTTTATTCCTCCATCTCATTAATAAGAATTAAGCTCTATATTGCCTTCTAAATTTCTCTTATCTAAAAATGAGGATTCAAAAATGGATATCTGTGCTGTGTGTATGTATGGAAATCCATACCCCTTTATTTACCTGTCCCTGGAAACTGGAGAAATGATCGCTGGGCAACCTTTTATCTTTTTATTGTGTTTTATTCGATAGAGAGTATGTTTGGAAAGAGTTTTACATGTGTCATATTTTCAAAATCACTAACTGCCATCACCCACTGGGGTCCTTTGTTAAGTCATTTTTTGTGGCTAATAGGGATAATCCAGGTAACTTAAGAAATGAGCAGTGAGAAGGAAGTTTTCCTGCCTTTGGTTTTTGACAGCTTACTTGTCATTTAATAAGACCAGCTCTCCCTTAAATTTAGCCTTTAAAAAAAAAAAAAAATTTGTAATAAACTTCTCTGTAAGGCAATTTCAGTGGAATATTAGAATTGTTATCAGGTTTGATGAGAGAGGGAACGTTTTTGTTTTTATTAAATGAAGCATTATTTACAAAAAGCCATTGTTAAGAATTAGATCCCACACCAGATGAATATCCATTAACCATTCTAAGTAAAGAAAACTCCGGTGTTGCTATGTGCAAGATCCTCTCTTGGGGGTTTTTTTTCCATAGCAATTAAAGGTGTGCTATTTGTGAGTAGCCATTTTTCGCAGTGATTTAAAGACCAAAGTTGTTTTACAGCTGTGTTACTTTTAAAGGTTTTGTTTTTTTTATATATATGTATTAAATCAATTTATCACTGTTTGAAGCTTTGAATATCTGCAATCTTTGCCAAGGTACTTTTTTATTTAAAGACATAACTTTGTAAATATTACCCTGTAATATTATATATACTTAATAAAACATTTTAAGCTATTTTGTTGGGCTATTTCTATTGCTGCTACAACAGACCACAGGTACATTTCTGAAAAATTTCATTTATCAGCGTATTTTCAAGTCCATATCCTAGATAACAATTCAAAGGATGACTTAAAGTGTTAATTTATAAATATTTTTAAAGTATAAGACCCAATATGTAAACTTGTAATTGGAATGAATTTTTAAAGAAGTCCAGTGTGTTTATTTTTCCCATGGTATGGTGTGAAACATAATGTGAGAAAACAGGAGACTTGGGCCGTCATGCTGGCTACACTAATAATAACTAGCAGAGGACTCGGGAGGTAAGGTTAGCCACCCACCTTTTTCTCTGTGTCCCTCCTCATCAGACTGAAATGGAAATTAAAATGATTCTCTGTTTTGATTGGTTATCAATTAGGACTATTTTGATTGTAAGTGAAAGAAAACCTAAATCTAAGAAAAATGGGATTAATTGGCTAATGTAACTGAAAATTCAGATGTACAGCTAGATTCCGGGCCCCAAACAGTGTCATAAGGATCCAGTGTCTTCTCAGCTTTCAGCTTTCCTTTCCTCCTTGTTGCCTTGATGGCCGAAGGATGACTGCAGTCCCAGACCCACCTTCTTTCAACTTCAGGGAGAGAGGAGAAAAAAAATATATATATATACCTCTCTTTCTCAGTAGTTCCGCCCACCGCAGATTGCACCTCCGTGCTCTGACTGGGTCATGTGCCTCCCTCAATCACAGAGCCCAGGTGTCTCTGACCCTCTGAACCTACCCAAGACCCATGTTGAGCCTAGAATGAAAATAGTGGGTCCCATCTGGAGTAGAGGTGAGAGACAGAGAGGAAGTTAACTGAAGCAAAGTTGAGGATTGTTACCAGATGATGAGCTATCATTAGATTCTGGGGCACAGGATTCCAGATCAATGCTGTATTTCTTGTAGGTATGTATATAACTCTTGATTCTGCTTTATATGTGTGATTGTAGACCATTTGAACAGAAAATAATATTTGGTGGCAAAGTAGTAGCTCATCCCCAATTTAATTTTTACGCATTTATGAGGACTTTTTCACTCAGCAGGAGTAACTAATGGAGTTCAGAAAGCATTTAATGACCTACCTCCTGCACTGTGGGCTGTTCTGGGTAGCACAGAACCTTACTCAACCTGATTAGAACTCCCACAGAGGTGGAGGCTTCCAAATACAACTGGGTTTCATTTTTGTGCAGCAACTTTCCATCTCAAGGCCTCAAGTTTGAGAGCTTTAGAAAATAATAATGGATTATGGTGACATCATCCATGTAGGACATGATTTCACTAGCAGTTCAGAGATTTAAGCACGATTGACAATATTCAGTGTGAG